AGCCCGAGCTGGCCCTCGGTGGCTCTGCCGGTGCAGTGTCCTGCTCGCCGGCCCCCGCGCCGTGCAGCCCGGGCAGCAGCGCTGTCTTGCAGCACCATCTAGTGCTGCGGGATGGGCAAGCCCCGCGCTGCCCCCGACAGCCACGGCAGCGCCGTGGGGACCGGCCGGGGCGGTCCTGGGTCGTGCTGCCAAGGCCAACCTGCCAGGAAAGCCAGGCAGGCTGGTGGTGATGGGGATGAACAGGCGGCACAGCGTGGCTGCTGGCCCGGGGCAGCCGGAACTACCTCCCCCGTGCTCCTGCTCTGTGCCAGGGAATTTCCTGCAAGGATTCCGGGAAATATCAAGGGGTGCAGACGTTCCCAGTTCCTGAGCCAAATGTATCTGGCCTCAGCTGCCCGTTTTGCCACCTCCTCCCGTGGAAATTGGGCCTCTGCCCTCTCCTTGGAACACTTGCTTCTCTCTCAGCCAGGTGGCTCCAGCTCTGTCAGTCCCTCACCGTCAGGGTCTTCACATCCCTCGAGTGGTTTCCTCCTGCATCCCCAGCAGTTTCTTGGGGCCCATCTTCCATACCTGGTGAGATTGTGATCCCTTCCCACAACTTATCACTGTTCCCCTTTTGCACATTCGGGGCAATGTCAGACCTTTCCAGCCTGGCATGGGGGACACCAGGACCCCAGCACCGTTACACTGTCCTCTCATCCCCTTGCTCTATGTCCCTTGCTTGTCTCAGCTTGTTATTCCTTCTGGGTGTCTGCCACTCTCTGCACCCTGCCTGGCACTGAGGTGCTGGGAGAGCAGGCAGGATTCTAGTACAGGGGAGGTGGTGCAGGAAGGACTTTGGCACAAAGATGGATGTCATAAGAATGGAATGCTCTTCCAAAGGGGCCGTGGTGATGGCTGGCCCCGCTCGTGGAGTACTGCTGTGGATGTGGATGTCAGACCTGCACTGGGGTGAGGCAGCTGCTGAGCCCCAACAGCGATTGCACCCGGGTCCTGTAGCACTGAGGGGCTGGAGACCAGAGGCTCCCTAGGGCAGGAGGAATTGGACGCCTTTTACTGAAAAAAGGGTGCTTTGAATCCTGTATTTGCTCCAGCTGCCCTCCTCCTTTCCTTGGGGAGAGATGGAACTGTGCCCAAGTCACCTGGCAGTGATATCCCTGTGTCCAGCTGGTTGAGTGCCTGCTTGGGGCTCTGCCTGCTCTGATTTGGCAACCCAGGGGTGGGATCTGTGTCCCCCAAAAAAGAGCAGAGGGACTCAAACCTTCCTAGACCTCCTGTTTCCTCCCAGTGCTGCTGAACTGGACGGCACTGGGTGAGGTGGGACGAGATGTTGCTGACCCCAAAGGCTGCCCTTTGCCACCACCTTCTGCTCACTGTCACCACGCCCTGCCCGTGCCGGCCCGTGCTACCGGCACCTGCGGGAAGGTAAGAGTAGCAAAGCAGACACCGAACATAACGTGGCCCTGGGCTGTTTGTGCGTCTTTTGTTCGGCAGCAACTTTCATGAATCAGCTCATTAACCACATTAGGATGGCTCTGCCGCCCTGCCTGAGCCTTATCGGGCGGGGCAGATTTGGGGCACGCGCCAGCCCCGGTGTTTTTGGCAGCTGAGGTCTCCCGCAGCAGCCGGGGTGGGTGACAGCCTGGAGGGCGCTGAGGCTGTGAGAGCCTGGTGCTTGCCAGGAGAGGAGGAGCCGGCCCTGTTCCACTCGCCCTCATGGCAGCACACACACACGTAGGGAAGAGCTTGGAGTGCTCCCAGGCCAAGACATGGCTGGAGGGTAGTGAGGATGGAGCTTCCCCCCAAATCTCTGTGTGCCAGCCCCCCAAGCTGTGCACAGCTCTCTCCATTTCCCGATGTGCCTCTGTGGCCCCTGACTGCGTGCCAGGCTCTGCTCTCACCACCAGGTTTCCAAGGCTGCCACGGCGGCTCACAGCCCTCCCGAGGTTGAGGATGAGTCCCCTGTGGCGACATTCCAGCTGGCAGGAGCAGCTTCCCGAGCACGTTCCTTGCTCCGTTCGAGGCTCTCACAGAAATAAACGCCCCATGTGTGCTGATGGATGAGAGGCACGGGTGCCCTCCTCCCCGTGGGAGCTATAGAGGCCAGAACACCCCGGCTGCCGGCTGGGATTCACCCGCAGTGGCGGCTGCCGAACCCGGCCAGTTCCTCTCCCCAGTGCTGCTTGGCCTGCCCGAAGCCAAAGGCTCCAGCAGGTGCCTGGAGGCAGCAGCTCCAGGTGAGCCAGGAGTTTGGTGAGTGGCTGAGCTTTGGGCAAGGTCCAGCATAGTGAGAGCTTCTTCAGGGGCCTAGCCAGGTCCTACCCTTCCCAAAGTTGCCTCTCTTCTACCACGGAGCTTTTCCCTTGTGCAGAGCCCTGTGCATTGGCTGGGGGCAGCTTTGTGGCCCAGAGATACCGAGCCTGTGAACTTTCAGGTGGGAACTTACTTGGTAAATAAGAGGAGGAATCACTTTGTTGGTCCTTGCACTCACTTCTCACCCCCAAACTTTGCACAGAGAGTGGCATGAGGCTGCCCTCAGGTTGCAGCCAGAACCGCCACAGGGACATGGATGGTTGGTGGCAGTGGTGACACAGGCACCCCTGGCCTCCTGCTCCACTTTCCAGCCCCACTTTTCCCTTCACTGGCACCTTTGCGATCCCATGCAAGGGAGCCAAGATCTGACTGTGCCATGCTTGGGCCCTGGGCATGGGACATGCCCCTGTCTCCTGCCCCTTCTCCCAGGGCTCCCAAATTCCATCAGCCCCACAGGGAAGGGAACCCACATTGCCTGGGCCAAGAACGTGCTGTGAGCACGCCGGGGCCCTTTGCCTGGGTTTTGGGCGGTGGCTGCTCAGTCCCCAGTGTCACCCTTGCCCTAGGGCCCCGCCGTAGGGTTCTTCAGGTTCTTCAGGGAGGCAGATGCCGGCACTGTGGCGGTTCTGGGACACGCTGTTCAGGACCAGGAGCGGGTGGCTGCTCCCGGCTATTTCCCAAGGAGCCACTGGAGGGCGGCAGTGACCCGTCCTAGCGGGGCCCGCCAGCTCCGACTGGGCCAGCTGGGCAACCTGGGCCAGTCCGGGCACGGCGGGCGAGGATGGAAGGGAAGGGACTCCGGAGGTCCCCCCGGGCCGTCTCAGGCCCCGCGTCCCTCCGGTGCCCTCTCCAAGGGCTGCTCACCCGGCGGAGCCTCAGCCACGCCTGTCGGTGGCCACCTAAAACCCCGCGGAGCCTCCAGGTGAGCGGCCCCGTAGGGAGCGCCGGGGAGGTGAGGTGGGTGTGGGAACTCACAGCTTGTCTCACAGAACAATGTGGGTTGGAAAGGACTTTTAAAGGTCACCTATTTCAAGCCCCCTGCCATTAACAGGGACATCTCCAACCAGGTCAGGTGCCGATTCACTGATCTGACCTGATTTGGGCAACCTGTTCCAGTGTTTCACCACCCTCACCCTAAAAAATTCGTTATATCTAATCTAAATTGACCCTCCTTGAGTTTAAAGTCATCACCCGTTGTCCTATAGCTACGGGCCTTACTAAAAAGTCTGTTCCCATGTTTTACAGGCCCCTTCCAGTACTGGAAGGCTGCAAAAAGGTCTTTCTGGAGCCTTCTCCAGGCTAAACAACCACAGCTGTCTCATCCTGTCTTCACTGGCAAGCCCACCCTTCCCTCTGATCATTTTTGTGGCCTTCTCTGGACCTCCTCCATTGGGTTCGTGTCTTTCCTGTATTGCCATGCCAAGGCTGGATGTAGCACTCCAGGTGTGGTCTCATGGGAGTGGGGTAGAGGGGAAAAATCATCTCCCTTGATCTGCTGGCTGTGCTGCTTTGGATGCAGCCCAGGTTAGCATTGGCCATTAGAAGAAAAGGCACCAGGGCAGACTCAGACGCACTGGGAGCGTCTGTCCCTGTGCTCTGGGTCAGTCCTTGGTTGTAGCTGAGCTTGGCAGAGGTGGTGCCTGCTCTGCCTCTGCTGGACACCGCCTGTGTGGGTCTAGTGGAGTGTCTGCCCTACAACAGAAAGGCACCTGCTCTCCAGACCTTCAGCCTTTTTTATTTTTCCTTTTTGGATACCTTCGTGTCTCCTCTTGGACAGAGGTCCCACCCTCACTGGGTGTTGTTCCTGCTGGGTGCAGTTTTGGTTGATGTCTCTGTTTGAAGGACCCTAGGACAGGTCACACTGCTGACAGACTCTGCCCTGCGGGCGCCCCAGGCTGGGATCCATCAGTGAGGTCTGGTGAGAAAGTTGCTGCCGTGGCTAATGGGGATTAATGGTCCAACTTCAAACCCCCTAAACAATATTTACTCCGTATCCCTACTCCATACACCCAGTGGCTGAATCCACGATGTGAAATGATGCCTTTCATTTCCTTGTGGCTCTGAGTATCTCAAGCCCAGCAACAGGACAGGCTGACTAAGGCGTCGAGTGATTACATAGCTGCCTGTGATGTTCAGAAGCAGAAGCTGGAGATGCCCCTTCCCATAATGTCCATGTGCTAAAGCTGATTACAAACAGCAGGGAAAAGTGGCGGCAGAGCTGCAGAAATCTGTCACAGAAAAGGTGCTGCAGTGTGTCATGGAAGTCTCCACACGTGGGGAGTGTTGGTGTCAGCAACTGCAGCCCCAGCAGATCTCCAGGGAGCCCAGCCCAGCACGGGAGTGATGCAGGTGAGCTCAGGGGAACATGGGTTTTCCAGAGAGGCTTAAGTGTCCCCAGGCACTTGGAAAAGCAGAAAAGTGTGCAGTGCTGTTCGAGAAACCAGTGACAAAGGGACAATTGGTCCCAAGGAATTAACAGACAGAAGGGACGTGAAGGAGAAGCCTTGGTCAGGGAAGGCAGGACACCTTTCTGATGTAGCCAGTTGGAGGAAGTGAAGTTTAACAGAGATGGGAGTTGTGGAAGGGGCAGGGAAGTGGAAAGCCCTGTTGTGCTGCTGGCTTGAGTGACGGGAGTTTGTGCCTGCTGAGGTACATTTTTGTAACAGAAAGAAAAACACACGAAACTGACATTTCTTCCCTTCTTTGGACGGTAGGAATGTTTTAATTGAGAAATTTGTTTTAATTACATTAGGTGATATCACAGTCTATTTTACAAGTTTGGGGTAAGAGGATGTGTGGACCAGTTACACAGAAATCCAGCGAAAGGATAAAAATCTACAACATGTGAAAAATGAAAAGGTTAACCCCAAAAGAAAAGCGTTGAGAGTTTGGTATGAGTGGAAATGGGAGATTATACCAGGGTCCAGAGAAGTAGAAAGGATGAGACTAACATAAATTTACAGTATTGGTTCTGCATGACCATCATTTGCCTGTGTTCAGAGACAGCCTCTCTTCCTGAGGGCATCGCTGAGCAGATGGCCCCGTCTCTGAGGATTTGGTCTGGTCTTGTCAGAGGAGAAAACAAAATAACTGATGGGCAAAGGTCACAACCCACGCTGAGCTGGTCCCCAGGGTCACTGCCTACAGGAGTGTCTTCCACTGGATAGTCGGGGGGTTCTGCACCAAGAACTGTATGGAGGAAAACTAAAACAGCTCCAAAAAGCCCCATCTCAAACGTAGAAAAGTCTCACTCTGGAAGTGCTTACGAGAAGATCGTCATCATAGAATTTGGTCTCTATAATAACATTACCACTGCAGGAGGAAAGGAGGAAAAAGAGCTGTTAGAAGGATGCATGGACAGTGGTTGCTCCTCTCAGCACTTTCACAAGCCTGGACTGACACCCTGACCACCCCACAAGATCTCTGGTTTGGAGCTGCACAGTGAGCACTGTCCTGGTCAGGGTCAGTCAGGACTGAGTGATCTCCCAAACAAATTCCTGTGTGGAATATTCCCCCCATCTGAGCACGGCACTGCTCAGGCTGCAGAGTGCTCAGACAGCAAACTCCTGCTCACTCCTATTGCTAAAAATAAACTAGCAGTCCCTGCACCTTCAGGCCCGTCTCCTGCAGGAATTGTGGAAACCAAGAGGAATTCTTTTTTTATTCTCCTTCTCTGTCCTCTGGTGCTGAGCAAGCTACATCAACCAACTTAACATGTCATTTCCCTCAAGAAGTGCTTAAATACAAAGACACAAGCATATTTTATACAAACTGCAATGGAAATGGATTCGGGTGTGACAGAAGCTCTGGGGATTTAACTTGCTGGCTTTTGAGATTTTGGTACATAAAATAAGAACTCTGGGACCATTACAACACCTGGACACCTAAGCAGTGTGAGCTGACCATGTCTAAACCTGGATCTTGAAAACCAAAGCAGGAATTCTACCTCCACTGTGGCTCTTGGTGTCTTTAACACTGGACGGGCTGAGAGTGTAAGGTTTGGCTGTGGTGTGGACAATGCTTGAACTAAAATGTAAGGGAATGTTCTCAATCTGATACTCGGTCATCCTAGGAAATCTTCATGCAGAGTGCCTTGTTTAGCACCAAGTATCACATCTCCATTCTCTCCTGGTTTGGAAGCACCAAGACACACATGAGGTCTTTGGGAATATCAGAAAATGAGGGGCTGTCTAAATCTCAGCAACTGTAAAATGATTACTTCTTTGGGGCACAGATTCCCCTTTCGACTTCCTTGGGCTGGGGGGTTCTACTGAAAAGCCTCAAGAATGACTAGGATACCTCTATGAATAGGAGAGAGAGATCTGGGCTCCCCACTAGAAGTGGACATACTTCAGGGAACAAATGGAACATTGGAAAATCCTCAAGGTCATTTGAAAACTAGCTTCTCTTAACTCCCAGTCCTGAAAACGTCTTGAATTCCTGAGATGATCAAGATCAACTTGTCAGATGTCTTTGTTTCTTTACTGTGGTTCCCAAATCTGGCTCCTCCTGTACTGACTGACAGTGCCCAGCTCTGGGAGCCAAGGGTGTGTGCAGCACCTCCAAGGCTCTGAGCAGGCTGAGCCAGGAGCACGACTGGAACACTGGTGCTCTCCTCTGAGCCACTCTCTCTTTGAAACGTGCTGTGAATGGGAATCAGTGACGGTAGCTCCTATCCTGGTGCCTTCTCTATGCGACTGGCTTTGCTCCAGACAGGGAATGAGAGGGAAAATGCTGGAGAGGAAGGTCTTCCAGAGGACACAGTGACCTTGCAGTGAGACTGGCTGCTCCCTGTCTGCCTCTTGTTGGCAGCAGGGTTCCCAAACCCTTCTTTTTCTGGCAGTGCACTCCTTGTGTGCTTGCCAGCACCCATCCAGCACTGCAGGGAGATGGTTACCCTTCCCAAAAGCCTCCCTCCAGGAGCCTTTTCCATCATCCCCAAAAGCTGGAGCCTGGCTGCCCACACTGAGCAATGCCCAGCACGTGCTACTGTGACACATCCGAGGCATCAGTGCCCTGCTCAGGAGCCCATGTGCACACAGAGCCAGGAGTAGATTTTGTGAGCAGTGTGTGTGAATCTTCCTGCAGGTGACTGTAAAATGACTGATTCCTACCTATTAAGGGAATTTTAGCCCCAGATACAACTCCATGCATAGTGTATATAAATGTATATATATGCACATACACTAAATATGTATAAGCCAATATTAAAGACACAAAGCTCAGCAAAATGTTACAGTGATGAAACAAACACTAGAGCAGGTGATATATTGCCTGAACTAAACTACCTTGGACAAGAGTTAGTGATCTATAGCTGATTTAAAAATGGCCAAAAAATCTGATTTTTTTTTCCCCCTGGATGTAACGGGTTGTAAAACATTTTAAAATCCTTTCACAATTCACCTTCCAAAAAAATTAAGCAACTTTATTAAAGAATCAGTTTCACTTTCTCCAAACCTTTATTGCTATATTAATGCAAATTGGACCTATGGGAAGGAAAGTAATGAGGTTGGCCCTTTTATGTCTCAACAACTAAGTAGTGAAGTGATTCAGAGTTGGTAGCAGTTCCCTCTCCTCCATCCCACCATTGCTCCCAAGGAAATGCTCACACTGCTTTTGCTATCCCTGCTCTCAGATTCTGCAAGCCCAATGCACTCACGTTAAAACGTTAGCTGGCATCATCTGTGATTCAGGTGCTGCTTCTATCAAGGACTGCCAAGTGTTTGTGGAGTTAGGAATCACAAAACCAAATTCAAAGAACCATTCTGCAAAGTAAAAAAGAAAAAAAAAAGAAAAGAAAAAAGATCCAGAGGCATTTGAAAGAAGAAAATTCACAAATGGTCCTTTTGCTTTTCACCTGGCAGGCTGGGAAACTCCCTAAACTGTCCCGCTGAGCTGCCAACATTTTACATTTAAATTACTTTGTACAGCTTAAACTGTACTGAACCCTCCCCTCCTCTTAGAGCAGATACTCTCTAAAATAGCTGATGGTACTGATAAGGTCACACCACTTCCTTGGCATTCGGTGAAAATTTCAACACACCTAAATGGGAACGGGAAACCACACTCCTCCTCTTGTAGATATCCCTGGGATCCAGTTGAGGTTAAGTGTGCAACTGGTTGCTCAAAAGACACGGAGCTCAATTCTATCTGCCCGTCCTCCAGCCCAGATTAAGAGCAGCACTGCAGTGAGGGGGGTCAGGTGTGCAGCTGTGGGGTCACTGGCACTGCTGTAACACAGGTAAACCAGAGGCTCCATCCTGGCACTCTGAAGAAGACCCAGGAATTCCAGTAATAGCTGACTCTGAAATAACCTGTTTCCTTGCCTCAGGCAGCCTGTGGTGGATTTATGCCCTCAGGCATGATTACCCAGCTTTTTTGCTTACATAACAAAGTGTTAATACACTTATGAAATGCTATCCTTAATACCATGGTCCATTAGTCCTGACAAGATGTGTGCTTCAGTGCTACTCTGAAAAATTAAAATCACCACATTTCAACCCATTTTAGTCACTCTAATCCCTGCCCTTCTGGGGTCAGTCCCTGTGCTGCAGCACACAGAGCACATCCATACCTTCTAGACACTGCCCTTTGAAATAAACTTTCTGTTCCAGACGGAATTTTTCCATTTGTTCTGCTGAGGAAAAGTTTAACTCCCGAGATACTGCTTTGCATTTCAGGATTTTTTTAGGAACTCGGGCTGTGAAAGAGATAAAGAAGCATTATTTGGACACAATAAAATCCAGCTTCTGCAGGTACTATTATTCATATATATACATTATTGGAAATAATGATTAGGACTAATACAAGATCATAGCAGCAGGAAAAATGCAAACACAAAGGACTTTGTTTTTACATTTGCAAGAGTGAAATCTAAGATGCAAATATCTTAAGTACCTTGCCCACAGCCAAGAATTAAACTTATGACAGAACTAGGGATACAATACTGATCTCTCAGAACCAGACTTCTGGTTCTTAGCTGTTTGTTACTAAACCCCGTAATTTTTCAAGTTGAAATATAAGATGCAAATTAAATTTTTACTTTAAGAATGGTGCTGAAGATCACCAGCAGCCAAAGGGCTGCTTAGCACACCAAGCCTCTTAGCCCTTCTCACTTTTCCTTCCCTTTCAGACTGTGCACCCCCAGAGCACACCACAAACGTGTGTTTCTCAGCCTAGCAGCACTTCCCAGCCATCTCAGAGCTCTGGGAAGTGTCCTGTAGAGGTAAAGACCTGTTCCCTTAACACTGAGACCGACCCAGGCTGTAAAGCCAGAACCACACTGGAAGGTTTAAGAGAGCAGTTTGACAATCCAGGTTTCTGGGCTCTTGCAATGGGTGTGACACCAACAGCAAGTGGCAAACTGTACCTGGTAGGTATTTCACAAGATGATTTTTTTTTAGAGGTGGAGGAATAAGAGAAGGGACAGTTTGAGAGCACTGATTAAGAGTGCTAATCAGGAGAATATGAAGGGGGAGTCAAACCAGTAAAAATCTCCAAAGCCCATCATACTTCAGTGGAGTGACTGTACATAATCCTTCCTGCATATTAGAGAATGTTTCATGTGAATTTTTTAGAAATAAAGAGGGGAGGGAAGAGAGCTGGCATGTGCTTTATGAGCCAAACTGTTCCAAAATGGAAAGCATATCAAAACATCCATGAGGAGGGAGCAGGCTGGTGTTTAATAAAGGGAAGAGTCTCCCAAAGCCCAGGCAAATCTATCTAATGTAGAATAGTTTAATGGAGTAGGACCTTGATATGACACCAATCTCAAGAGTTGGAGGCTTAGGGAATGTAAGCCAGCATTCTACCCCAAGGAGAAGTACATGGCCCACAGTTTGGAAAAAAAAAAAAAAGAAGATTAAAAATAAAATTAAAAGTGTAAGGCAAGGATTTTAAATGCAAAAGATCTCTAATTATTTTTATGAGATTTTTTGTGCCATGGAAATCAGCATGGCACCATCCTTTACTGCCCTCACTGGTACAGACTATGCCACTGTGGATAAACATTCCTTTGCAGTTAAGTGTAAAATGACTAGTTAAAACTGCTCTGCAATTTAGTAGTTTTATTTCTTTCATCTCCAAGACAGAGTCCTGAGAATGTTTGCTTTAACATTTTAAAACTACCAAATAAACAGTTACTTTCAATAAAAGGAGGACTGTGTTGTCTTTAAACATCTGATTTAAGACATTTTAATTTACATTTATACCAAGCAAAAATCATTTATACATTATACATTTATATCAAGCAAAAAAGTAATTGAAATTACTTATTTTAAGCTCGTTTTACTTTTATTTCACTCTTTTTTTCTATTAAAAATATAAAAGAAGGAAGTTTAATTCTCATCAGTTAAGTCCATTTTAAAACATGCTGAGATTCAGATAAGCATAGACTTAATCCTAAATTTACTAGTGCTTTTTGTTAACTTGAGGATGTACTATACCTGCACATTTATTTAAGCACTTACATGGTTAACATACATTTAGTCAGATAATTAATGCTGACTAGATTAGAAAGTGTTGAATGACACATTTCTTATTTACTCACAAGTAATTTTGGGTCCAACTGTTTAGTTAGAAACTGAAATTCAATTAAAATACCCATACAGTTATGTTTTCATTTACATTAAATAAAGCTATCTTAAATATTTGGGAACATACAAGAAAGCAAGTTATCTTAGCCAAACTGATTTTACATTCTGAACTACACGTTTTCTTAGATAATGAAAGGACTAGTTGTATGTCATGAATGAAAGCTGGCTGTGGGGATTCTCTAAGAGCTACACCTCAGCAACTTACTCCAAGATTTGTTTGTATATTGGAAGAAACCAAACTTTACAGATTTGCATCTTCCAAATTGCCTCTCAGTTTTGAATGCCCTGTCACTGAACAGAGCTGACTGGAAAAGCTCCTGCTGTCAAAAGCTGGTTTAGATGATTAATTCCAGTTTCAGGTGCTGAGGCTGTGATTTTTACTACTTAAGGCAGTTTAATGTTAAGGCTTTGGCAGCAATCCAATACCACATTAATATTGTTTTTATTTCATCTAAGTGGTAATAGTAAATTAAGGTAGTAATACAGTATCATGATTTGAAACTTAAAGAGTTCATTTTATAAAGAAACTTGTACTTAAATCAAATAGAAGTAATGTTTAAAAAGCAAACAGAAGTCCTGTTTAAAGAAAATGTATTTTATTCACTCTGCTATATATTTGGTCCTTTGTTTGCTGTGTCTAGACTGTGATTTGCCCTGAATGGCCACAAAACATACACACACAAGTACTATATAATGACTTTAAGACACATATGGATTTAATTGTAGAACAATTACTTTGTTTGCCCTCACTAGTTCTGCTGCAGGATTGTATCAGAACTGCATTTTCCCACAACTTTTAATTCACCATCAAATTACCCTGCTTTGTTGGATGTCTCAGCCTATTTATTGAGCACAACATATCTACCTCAGATTTCTTTTCTAGCCAAGACATACAAGAACTGCTTTTTTTGTCTCGTCTCCCAAGGAAGACCATCCTCCCATCTTTAATCTTTTCAGTGGCTTCTCCTAATAGCTCTCCTCTGCATCTGACATAGTTTGCAGTCATCCATCTTCTAGATGGATGAGTGAACTGTGCACCAGATAAGGTCTTAACTATTCCATGTACAATGGGCATTAATCTCAGGCCAGTGTATGTTTTAATTAATTCTCCAAGTTCCTCTGATGGAGATGACGGTTCCTGTTTTATTTGCAATGAGAATCTGAGGCACAGTGAGCACATATGATTTGCCCAAGTGACAAAAGTGACATCTGTCCTTCAAAGCAGAGGTATAGTTGCAACTCAGGTGACCCAGACATACAGCACCACCCAGCCCCAAATGCCCAATAAAGTCACACAGTACCTTCATGCTCCACTCCAGGTACAGACAGATCTTCTGTTCCTTGCCAGAGGATTTTCCCTGTTTCTGCATCCCGAAGGTTCATCCAATTTCTGATTGGGAAGCAAATAAGGAAAACAAGCTATCTATATCCCTAAATGCTGTGTGTAGTATTCTCTGCTGAGCTCTGAAATAGGCTATTCCAGATGAGTTTCAGTCATGGTTTCTGGTTCTCAGGAGGCCAAGGAAAAGAGAGGCTTTTTCCCTGAGAATAAATGAACAAACCAACCTCTGACCAGAATGAATACAATAAGAGTTTTATAGCCACAGATTTAGTTTTCACTTTAGACTGAAGCTTGTTAACCTCATCTATCATTTTCCATTGCTTTTAAAGGATAAAGGCAGTGTCACAGTGCTGTGGAAAAGCAAGAACATTGCTAACAATAACAGATAATTCTACACAAACAATTGCTGTTCTCCAGCATTTGAAAAACACTAGGAAAAGGAGTCCTTTCTACATAACATGAGAAAAAGAATAACATCCAATCGAGCTTGTTTTCTTAGCTTACAAAATATTAATATCAAGGGTTGTTCTATTGTTGTTGACCTCGTAACTGCCACTCATGGGAATTCTTCAGCAGCTGAGTGCTAAGCAAAGAGAGATCGTCTCTTTTCACTCTCAGCAAGTGAGGCTGTGCCAGCTTCCAAAATGCCCCAATCAGTGAATTAGTCAATACATCTATAGGCAAGTAGGAAATATTCATAATTCCAAAGGGGCAGTTAATAATGGTAAGTATACCTTTGAAAAATATCTCTCACAGGATAACTCAGATACTGACAGCTCAAAACAAGGAGCCTGCACACCTGCATGATGTCATCCTGAACAGGGACATCCATCCATAAGCCTCAGGCCCTCCTGCTCTGCAGCTCCTCAGGGTGGCTCTGAGGATTCACCAGTGTCAATACCAGAGACTGAACAGAGCAGGATCTGTGGGATGAGCCCACACAAACCAGAGCCTTTCCAGGAGCTCCTTTTGGCTGCTTTATGGCAGTGCACCCTTCATACTCAGTACTGCCTATAACAACGGCTCAAGGAACTGGCTGGGGAAGTGGAGACAGAAGAGGGACAATATGGACCTTGACATGGTGATTTGGAGATTTGCATATTGAGCTCATCCTCTAACACACACAGTTTCCAGGCAGACTCACATAAATGCATCACACGGATCACATTTTTCCAGAGCTCCCAGGAAGAAACAGATGCTTTAGCAAATTTTGCAGCACAGGTGAACATTTGTTTTAAAATTATGTGTGTGGAGGAATGGAAGATGGCTGCTCCAGCAGAGATGTGAAGAGTTTTTCCCTTGCTGAAGGCTAGTGAGACTTTCAATGCCCCACTGAAAAGACAAAGGGAATGTGTGCACAGGGTCTGTTCACACAAAACTTGGCAACAACTTGGAGCGTGGGAAGAGGGAACACAGGGCAGCCTGCTCATGTCCTTCTAGGCCTGTTCCAAACACATTGTATCTACCACTTGTTCGGAGATTAAGGCAAAAGAGAAAGGGGCACAAGATGAAAAGCATCCTCTGAGGACCCTGTTTGACACCTCCATATCCTAGCAGGAAGCTGCAAAGTGGAGCTCTCTCCCCAGCCAGCAACCCAAGAGAGACAGGGGCTGGCAGGGAAGTCAGAGAGAGAAAATGAACAGCAGAATGGCAAGAAGAACCTGCAGCAGGGCTGGGCATTTCATGTGGTGCTGGCTGAAAAACTCAAAAGTCCTCAGCCAACACAACCTGCAGGATGGAAGTGCCCCAACTGTAATTTAAAATGCCAAAAAATCCACCATTTTCCCATACATCTTCCCACACACAAACATACACATTAGCCAGGGTGAAGCTATTTGCATAGAAAGCAGTGTGCCATCTATCAAATGCCACGTACGAGGGGAAAATAACAAATGAGACAATCTGAGCATCTCACTGACAATCTCATTTATCTTCCTGACACACTGCCACACAAACACTCTTAACTATTAGCTGAACAGTAATTTAGTAAATTGGGCACTTGATTATCAAATACCTGTACTACCTTTAAAAAATGGTCCTCTCACAAGTATTTATTTGCTGTTTCTTCACCATAAATATCAGTCAGAGTTGTGAGCTCCCAGGTTTGGCCACAGGCTGTGTAGTGCTAAACTGAGCTCTACCAAGTTCCTCTGAACTGGAAATGAAACACTGACCAGGACAGCAAACCCAGCACTGTTAAAGAAACTGATCCAGCCTCTCAGCTGCTGTATCAGTACTCTAACTAATGGACCATTCCTTTTGCTTGCCATGACTTGCCTCACCTTCCCATCCCTCTTCCCTTGTCAATTTTTGGAGCCCTCTAAAATCACATTTACCATTTTCAAAAGTATTATATTAGAAGTGCCCTTTAATAAGAAATAGCCTGACAGCTTAATTATTATCCTTACTTGAAATACACAGTTATGGTGTTAATGACCTACTATTTCTGGTGAGAGACACACTGCTGGCCTCTGTAACTTCTCCCTATCAGGATTTCTCTCTCAGTCCAGCCCAAGAAAGATGATACAAGTTATGTTGCTGTGCTGAACAGTGTTAACATTTACAATGTATATTAACATTTGAGGTGTTGGACAGCTATAAAGTGCTATTTGGCTTATTTTATTGATGTTCCACTGTAAAAGCAAATCCATGCAGGATAGCCTGCCCCATGCCTTGTACTATGACTGTCAAAATCAAGATCAAGAATTAATAAAAAGCTCAAGGGTCTACCCATGCTCATGAGACCATGCCTCATGCATGCAGCAATGCATGCCACAGTTCCTAGAAAATACATTGTATTTAAACAAACTGAACATTGCTAGCCTAGGTAATTCCTTATCAGAGAAATAAAGGTTTAATGTCAGTGTATTCAAAGGCTTTCTGACCTTGACAAATCCATGTGTTGGTTCAGGGCATGCTTTTCCAACTTCTGCAAATGAAGAAACAAAATCAACCTGCTAATCAGAGTGTATACAAAGAGTAAAAATATGTGGACCCAGACATATTTAAAGGGATCAGAATACTAGCCAGTTCACAATTTTTTCCCAATAACTAAACATTATTAAAAGGGAAGAACAAATCATCAAATCTTAAAACCACAGACACACACACAATCTCTTTCTATTGGAAAAAACACTTCATGTACAAGAGGTTAATTATTTTTTAAAAAAATAAACCTTTAAAAAGAAACAGGCACCTGAAAAAACGTTTTAGTCAAAAGAGATAATGTATAAAACTTTGATAGAATTTTAAAACAAAAAGAGGCAAACCCTACCACAAGTGATTTCTTGACACGGAAATACCTGATACACAGCAGTGGCTGTACTGCTTACCTAGTGAGCAGCTTATCAACACTATTTCTGTCATCTTGGATAGGCAGGCTGGTAATAGGACATACCCCAGAGTGAAGAAAATGGAGATCTTGAACCAAACCCACACACACTATTATCTTCTAATGTGTTTAATTGGTTTAAGATTCTTCCACCCCAGCATGAGAGATATTGTTACTAAAAATAAAGAGTGCTCCACCTCCTGAGCAGCAGTGGAGACCTGCAGGCAGAATGATGATGGCATTTTAAGCAATACTGAAAAGGAGAAAGTAAATTAATATTGGTCTAATACAATTACTTTTTGAAGAGGTTCATGTTAAGCCATTTGACAGGGGTAGCTAAGAGCAAGTAGGAAGCCAGGCAGTTGTAGCTTTGTGAAGTTTGTATATGGGAGGGGAGGAAGAACAGTAGTGTATTCCTAATTCAGTTTCTCACTCTTACACCATTAAATTTTCATTCGTCATTTGTGGGCTTGGGTTTTTTTTTTTTTTGGAAATGATGTTTGATTTAAGACTCAATAGATCAAATACTCTTCAGTCTTGAAGGCAAGAAAGGATTAGGAAGGAAGAGTGTACTGTTGATCTATTTATATTCCACCACCTATTGGATCAGCAAAGTCTTACATAAAAGCTTTGTAGTAGCTGGAACTTGACTTGCTTTATATACATGATATGACTTATCTCCCTCCCTTACTTTGCTTAGCCTGATGAAGGGAAATGGTTTGTGCATTTCTAAATCCAAATTTTTCTTTATTTTTTGTATCTGTCATAGAGATCACTTGGTTCAAACAAATCAGAATGTACATCCTTATCTTTCAGTGTATTAGCATTGCAAAAGATTGCCTTGAATTACCACGCTTGTAATTAAGAGTAGCCTTGAGGAAGAGAATGAGTACAAACAAAATCTATCATTAAAGTAGTATGGAGTTAAAAGAAGTCCTGCCTCAATCTCCCTATTATTTGTATGTTGTACTGTTTAGCACTTCTTGAAGATCCCAAAGGCTGTGGCAAACAGTAGGTATCGTTACTTTTGTTAAAATGATCAATTTTTCATTTTATTCCTTGCTGTATATGTCTACATCTTTCTAAAACCTCAGGAACTGTTGTACTCTAACATTTCATAATAAAAACAAGGCTAATGTTCATAACCACTCCTAGAACGAAGGTCTTTCATCATCCCTGCCAGCTTTTTTTTTTTCCACATGAAATATAACATTAAAAACAGTTCACTACCTGCCAGGTGCAAACAGCATCTCAACAATTACATGTTAATGAGACCTGTCCTCTGGGAGAAGGTGGAGCTGAAAGCTCCCAACAATTCAGACAACAATCTCTGTTATAGACCCAAAAAAGCTTCTGATCAGGACTCACCAACATTCACTCCTGATTTTACATGGTCTGCTGTGAAAAGCAGATACAACCAGGCAGTCATGGCATAGGCAAGCACGTTATCTTACAGGGAAGTAAAGATCAAACTTTAGGGATTATATTTATATCAGACATATTTTCCCAGAAGAATATTTGCATCTCAGTTATTTCAATCCAGTCTGAGGAATAAGGACCAATATAAATTATGCAAACTATCTACCAAACTACAAGACTACAAAGTAGACCACCTAAATAGCCTTGTGTTTTTCCTCCACTCATCCCATTCATCCTGTAATCTTTGCCATCTCTACTCTCACTTTTTATTACAATTCCCAAATCCCTCTTCCACAGAACTCCTAATTGTGTGCTTAAATTTAAACACATGCACAGACGTTCTGCTGATTCAGGTCCTTGAATTCACTCTGTTCACACTCAAGAGAAATGCTGCTGCCTGCTGTTTAATAAACCACAAGTACACATGCTGGCAGTATTCCTTCTAGCCTAAGGATGAAATTCAGTGCAAAATCCAATCTACTGAATGAGCATCCATCCATTCTGTGTACAGGAATACCAACACACAAAAACTGGAAGTTATTCCTCAAACATTACTGGAATCTTCGGGTGTAGTACTGTCAGCTTCTCCTGCTTTTAGAAAGCAGTACTTTGTTGAGTTCTTGACTGAACAAAAAACATGCTCTGACAGCTCTTACAGGGGCAGAACTTTTAAAAAACTCATCTATTATAAACCAACTTTCCTAGAGTGATGCACAAGATATGGGTTACTGTGCTCCCAAATGATGGGAGGTGCTGGGAACTGGAAAGGTGCTCTATTAAATCCTCAAATGGAAGGAAGCCAATTATCCCTTCAAAGCACTCCTGGCACTCCTTCACTTGCTGTAAAAGAGCCTGCTTTTAAAGTGTCCTGTACAGAACAAGTTGCTGTGCAACAGAAGCCAGGGAGATCCACAGATTAATGTGAACCACATGGCAAAATGCAGCAAAAATCCTCAGCAACCAACAAAGTAATTTCACAGCAAATGATGCAGTCAGAGGGATATATTTGCCTACAGCATCACAGCAAAAAGATCACCACAATATCATATACCTGTATTCTTTGTACTTCCCTTTATACTTTCTGCCTTACATCCTTGTGTGTGCCTGCACAGATCTGGTATCACCACAAAGAATTTCCATCTAACATCCATTAGGCAGTTCTGGATTAAGTTGCTCTTGGCCCATATTTGGAAAGACAGTTACAGGAGTTACTGTACAGCAAGCCAACCTTACCTTAGCTGTAATACATTATGCTAAAAGGGCAGAAGTTAATATTGCTCCCTTCTATTGTGTTAAGTAGACAGAGCTGTGACCATTTCCACTAGGCAGTAGAGTGGTCCTGGAGTGAAGCTCCAGTACCCCCTGCTGTGTGTCACATCCTCCCTGCCCTGTGGGTGACCATTCTGAAGCTGAGCTATGTTCACACCTAGTATTTCCTGCTTGAACCTCGGAATACATTTCAACTTAGCAGGGCTCATGTTGAGGCACACTGCAAAAGTCTGCAACAAAAATGCAGCCTAGGTCCATTCACAGCCAGATAACTGCAATGGGACACCAAAAAACTAGAGAAGTACAGAACCTGTTTACCTCTACAAACACTGGAAACGAAGTAAACCTACGTCCAGCATTTACTAATAGAAATTTTATCAAGTTAAACAGCTGTGTCTTCAAACAGTTTAGGCCGAAAGATACAAATATTATTCAGTATTTTCATCAAAATGAACAACTAACATCCATCCCTACTCCACAGCATCCTACTGACATCAGGTAGCAAAATAAGGCCGAGTTTAAATTAATGTTTAATTTTTACTGTTGGCAATTAACTGTCTGAAAATATTCAGTGAAATCTCTCAAAAATCTTAAATATTTAAATCAGAATTTGTGACACTTTTAGTAGTCTTAACAAAAGCAGGTATTTGTGAAAAAAAAATGAAGATGTAGAGCTCCTAGACTCTGGAAGGAGAAGTGTCTAGCATGGGCAGGCAGGGTGAGAGAATGTGTTTTGTTTCTTTGGTAATACCCATAAGTATTGACAACTAAGCCAGGCTTCCATTTCACTGAGTCTTCCTCTCTCCTTCAAACCAAAGGAGCAAGAAACAAATGGATGCACATTTTAAAGGAAAGAGTTACAGACCTACTGAAGATGAAGCTAAGGGTCATAAGGAGGGAAAAGGGAAAGAATAAAAAATTATAGTGGTTTGCACACAGCTGAACAGAGATGTAGACACTATTGCTTCAAGGTTTACATCTGCGTCTAGCTTGAAGAAGCTTAACTCCTAAAAAGTCCAGCAATTTTTGTCACTGCTGAGCAATAGGAACCGATTTAGGCATTTGCGAGTAACCTTTGATTTTTTCAGACAAAAGCAACAATGTGTGACATTCCTGAGCAGCTCCTGCCTGCAGCAGATGAAGAGACTGCCCTGTTACTCCAGCACACCAGCAAAGCCGACAAGACAAGACAAGGCTCCTGGAGAGCATGCCAGGCACTCCTCTGGGAACTAAGCTCAACCCAGGGAGACTAAACCACTTCTAATCTCAAACCAAACCCTATACCCTAAAATTTGAGATCCCTAACCAAAAAATTTAGAGTAAAGCCCAAAATGTACTTGTGGTACAATGAATACAATGTTGTTCAAAGTGGGAATAAGCTCCAAATCATTTCTACACACACATCACTGGCTTAGGGGGCAGATTCCCCTGTCAGAGGGAGCAAGCTGCCTTCTGTGCCAGACCTGTTTGCTACTATTAAAATTGAGCTTTGTTTCCTCTAGAGACAGATGTTAAAATGGTTCCTAGAACCAGACAACAGTGCCAAAATAAAAGCAAGCTGGAGCAATGTAGTGGTTTTCTGCTGTTTTCTGCTGCCTGTGTTTGTTAGGCTTTTCTTTGACTTATCTCAATAGCCTTGACAGAGTTCCTTTACACCAACGCCTCAGCAGGAAAAACAACATGTGGAGACTGCTTTACAATCTAAGTAGTAAAACAATCAATAACTTGGGAAAACTTATCATTCGTTGCAGGAATTGCACAAAGAAAATTAGTTTCTCTTTTCCATTACAGTAACACCCAGCTCCTCCCATCTTCCCTGCATTTTAAATGCATCTCAAAAACAAGCCTGAGCTTGTGCTAAGAACCCTTTGAATATTTACATAATTAATGTCATCACTAATACTCTGAGTTTGTAGAAACAGCAGGTGAATCAATGGGAATGGTGTATTCATCTGAAAAAAGAACGTGACCTTTAAAATCCATAGGGCTTTATCAGAACATAATTTTAAAGTGGGTTGCTTGTAGCTCAGAACAAAACTGAATATAACTATGGAGAAAGCTAACAGAGACACCATGTACACCAGAGAAACCAAAAATACAATTGAAACACTGGAACTTCCTTAGAAAAGATACCTGGCCTATATCAAAAGGTAAGACAGGTTGCAGGACAGCATGAGCCACATCCAGAATGCTTAAAATTAAGTTAAATTCTTTAAACTCCGAAATAATTGGAATCAGTTTGTCCACTTTAATTTTAGCACATCAAACAATTTTCCTCTCTGTAAGTGAAC